AACAAAATGAAGGGGGGAAACATTGCTCAAAGTGGAGGGGGCAGGTAAGGATATCATTCTAAAACAATTGAAAATTAATACAACTCACATGTATGTTTTGAAGTAGAAACTTCTCCATTCAACAATGCTTTTAACCTACACATCATAAATCCATGCAAGCACAAATGCATAATCCTTTAGAACTACATCAGTTCAAATCGCTGTCTCATGAAGTGTTTGGACATATTGACATCAAATATATAATTATATACCACATCTATATATAATTTTGAGGGACACCTAACTTCTTAAGGATTCTTTAGGGTGATTCAATATCATTTTTACATGATGTCAAAACTTGGGTGAGTTAGGCCTAACTTAAAGGACACATATTAAGGCACTATTGCAGTAATGAAGATTCTAAAGTAAACTCAAAAGAAATAATGAATATTCTAGAGTTAAGGTAAATAAATAATAAATATCCTAAAGTTAATGTAAAAAATATATATGTAGAACTCTCATATTAATGTTCCAAAGTACATGAAGCATTAGGGATGAAAAGGGGAAATGGAGTAATGAACAATTAATGCTCCACTGATGTTCTAAGGTGACTGTTATTTGAGGACAAACCAGTTTGCCTAAAGTGACAGTTAATAAAGAACGGAAGGGCATTCTTTAAGACCACTTTGATAATATTGGAGCAAATATTTGGAGGAAAATAAGAGGGCTAAATCAAAACAAAGGTTGAAAATTGATAGAATACGTGGAAATAATAAAACAAAAGGAAAGCTCAAAGATAACAGACACCAAACCACCTCTGTGCTAGATAAATTAAGCAACGAGTCTGTTAGTCCATCTCCTGCATTAACATGAAGCAAACGTTAGATATAAAAGTTATAAAATGGTCATATTTTCAATCATGTATTTAGATGGAGCACAAGTTAGATATTTAAAATATCTCAAATTGTTTTTAACTATGGAGTTAAATATGGAGGGAAGTCCTCCACTTTTCAGGGCTCTTTGGGATGTAAGTAACATTAAAAAAAATCTAATGATGGGGGCATTTGTTCAATAAATGAAAGAGAAAGTAAGACCACAGTCCACAAATATGTGTATTTCTGTAATGCTCCATAGTAGTAGATTAAAATAAGTGTGAGATTATTAGCAAACGAATGCAACAAAGTAATGAAAAAGAATAGGGAAGACAATATACACATACTTTAAAAAAAGCAGCAAATGAAGAGAAACATGTGATTACCTGTAAAGTTTCCTGAAACAAATGCACGAGAAGCATCTCTGTAAGCATGCAGAAAATATTAAAAGGAAGCCATGTTAGTCAAGAGAGAAGAAATGAACTAGGCAAATACGGAGTACTATATTATTCCTTCGCAACTCAAGAAATTGGTTGAAGCACTACAAAGCTAGTCTTAGGATAATGATTTTCTAGTAAAAAAATTGTAGTGTAGTATCCTTATCGAGGAAGCTCCAATCTGGATAAAACATATGGAGTATCTTTTACAAAACCATGTTTTCAGATTTGAATAAACATGTGAACCTTTTGCTGATCGTGTAGGCTAGTTTCTGTGTGGACTTCCGATTTAAAAAAAACTGTTGTACGTTACTCAATAGTGTATACAAGGCCTTCCAACCCTAAATCGGTAGGCGATATTCTTGACTTTCTACTAAATTAATTATAGATGTTTCCTTAACATTTTCTAAGGGGTTTTCAAAACTTTATTTCAGCCAAATAAATAAGTCAATGCAATTTCTCTTCCTCAATGTTAATAAGCATACTAAGAAAAAAACCAGGGCTGACGACCAAAATGAGCTTCAGATCAACAATAGACTGCATCAAATGACCTATTAAATCTGCTAAAGAAAATCATTTGAATTTTGAACACATGATGCTGATGCATAAAGTTAACACAAAGCCGGGAACTTTAGAAACCATAACTACAAAAGATGAAGGAAAAGAACACCATCAGAACTGAATTTTTTTAAAAACAAGCAAAAAGAACAATGGAATCACCTTCCTGCGAAATGATTGTAAGCACCACCCACACCATAATGACTCTTTCCTTTTGTTACGTCAAATACAGACCTGTTCATTTTGATTCAACGAAAACAATTTAAAACTAGATATGCATAGAAATGTTAATTCATACGGAGTATTAAATAATGCACTGAGTAAAAGAGTACCCGATGATGCCAAGAAGAATGGGCAAGTTTGGGTCGGAACCATTGTAAAGAGCTAGCTGCTCCGGAGTGAACAATCTCTGTAATTATAATTAAAAATGAACAAAGAACAGCGGATTCTCGATAACGTCTTCTGCTTTGAAGAAAAGAGGATACGCAAACATCAATTAAATTGGAAAGAGACTGTAAGTAATTTACAGGTGTAGATGGAGAAGAGCGGAACGAATTGCGAGGGAAGAATTTGAAGAGAATGGAGAGAAGAAGAATTGAAAGAGGAATTGACCACCGCATTTCTTTGATGCTCCTTATGATATTTTCACTCCAACATCCTCAGATCGGACTGCGCAAGTCAACGAACATTTTATCTTTTCACTGGTTTTAATCCAAACAAATACGCCGGAGCACTTCCCGTCATTCATGTTCTTAATTAATTCTACGGTAGAAAACAAACTAAGTAATTTCTATGGTAGAAAACAAACTAAGGATGTTTTCTTTTGGAATGAAATTTGCTGGTCATCTGGTTTGGTCTGGTCTGGTTTAGTAAACGTCTGGTCTCTATGTATTTTATAACTAAGGAAGTCTGGTCTGGTCTAGTCTGATTTGGTATGATCTAGACTGAAAACAGTTCAAAAGAAAACATCCTAAAATCCGAAAATATAATACTCCCTAATAATTGGGAAAAATAATTAAAATACCGCAAACTATGAAGCGGTGAGAGATAAGCACCTCAAATTTGCATTTTTAATTTAAATACCCCAAACTTTATATAAAATGTTATTTTTACACCATGGTCATGTATCATTTCTTTTAAAATGTAAACATATGATGTTAATTGCATAATTTAAAATATCAAATTGAAAACTTTGCAATTATATAGAATGGGGTTAATACTATTTATTTTACAGTGGAAGTTTAGAACGTTAATTTTATCTTCAAGAATGCTTAAATATTTTAAATTATGAAATTATCACCAAAAATTGACTTTGCGAAAATAATAATACATGACCATGATGTTTGATGGTACCATGGACTCGGACCATGGCCCAATTACGTAATTCAGTCCATAACGGAATTAGCCCAATTAACAGGATTAGCCCATAACGGAATCAGCCCATGACGGGATTAGCCTAATTAACAGGATCAGCCCATCAACGAGATTAATGTCGAATATGCCGTCAGGCCCAAACAGGATCAGGCCCACGACAGGAACCCACAACCAGGCCGGGTTGCACAGCAGACCTCGAGCCTGGGCGGAGTTCTGGTGAGGCCGGGATATTCCTCGGGTTACGTGGCAAGCAGTTATTCGGCACAATTATTTGGTAAAAGGCAGGACTCGTCCGGAGTTTGGAAACAAGAAGGAGATAATTAATGCTTGATATCCAAGGCATGAGAGGAGTTCTATTTCGAGCAAGAATATACTTCGTAGTTCATTAATTAGCATTTATTGTATTAGATTCCTCCTAAAATAATAACTCTTAAAGTCTATAAATACTTTTAGTAAACACCCTACCAAGGGATTGGATCTAAGATTGGTCTTCAGAATAAGAGTATACTACCTTACGCTGCCATATTCTTTCATACTTTTCATACGTTTCTCATACCTTTGGGTAGATTTAGCACTCGTAGTTGGATTAAACTCCATCATTTGGTGCTCTCGTTGAGAGAAGAATCTACAAGAAACAATGGTTGAATCAAACAGTCACAACCGTGCTGGTAGCAATCAAGGTGGGGATCGCTATAACCAAGTTGTAATCGAGGACGAAGGTTCGAGGTCGCGACACAGTGATTTCTGAAGGCGCAATGATAACATCACCGCACAAGGTGATTTAAGAAACCAGATCCAAGGCGTGGGGAATTCAAGGTGCACGGCGGCACAGCCACCACAATTCCAAACGCCGGGCACTGGACATGACATCCCCAACGTGGATCCAGCTCAAGCTTTGGCGAGTTTGGCTGCGTTTCAAAGAGCGGTGAAAACTTTGACAACGACGTTCCAAGGTATCATTCCTGATCCTAATGGGAGACCTCTTTCCCCTTGACGGGCTCCATCCATAATCCCGCGGGAAGGAGAAAAATCCCCTCAACATCAGAGGAACTCGCCACTAGCCCGATCTCAACGCTCCCATCATTCCAGAGCAACCCCGAGGATCCCTGTGATGAATCAGATAAGTGGGCAGAGAGTTTCTGTCCATGAAAGGCTCTCTTCTAGAGCAGAGCATAACGAGGGGGCATCTTCGGCTGCTGTTTCGTCCCACCGTCGTAGTGCGAGTAGGGGAGATCTCAAAGACGAGATCAATGCGAATAGGCAGGCCCGAAGGGATCACTGACCTCCTATGCATGCCCAGGCCGGGCATGATAATGCAGACCTCAGGAGGAGGTTTGACGAGCTCAGAAGGGAGGTGGAAGGAAGAACTGGTCTCGGGCATGGCGTAAGAATTCCTGAACCTTTTATGCGTCAAATCATGGAGGCACCATTGCCCCAAGAATACAGGCCATGCAACATTGAGGCCTACCGAGGAAAGACAGACCATCAGCATCACGTTTCCAGGTACGCGGCTTACATGGTCATGATGTGGTATGATGATGCTATAAAGTGTAGAGGATTCTCGGTGACCCTAGACGGACCAGCCCGGGAATGGTATGATTCTCTACCGGATGGGAGTATAGGAAGTTTCCGAGAATTGGCGCATGCATTCATAGCGCGATTTGCTACTTCTAAAGATTCTAAGAAGACGGATTGCATTTAGATTTAGAATTACCTAAAAGAAAAATAGGATAAGTAAAATGTGATGAAGGGAGTAAATTTTTAGGCCGGGTATTCGGCCTAAATTAACTAAAGGCTGACCAAAGGCCCAAACTAACTAAATGGTGGATGAAATCGATCAAACATCTCTGGATCCATCGACATCTATCATCCCCATACGATCGAAGTGTCGAACGCTCCGCCAAGTCGCCGACTCCTTTCGGGGCTTCGCCTTCCATCACGCACCTGACGGCAGCACGCTACTCCGCCAGCAGCGCAGCACGCTTCGTAAGTCATCGCCTCCTCGCATCACTCCCGTCGTCCGGTTGCCTGCACTCCGCCATTCACACTTCGGCTGTTCGGCCAATCTGCACCTCAATCTTCACTTCCAACCATCCGTAGTTCCGGTATTCCTTCATTCCACTTTTATTGGTTAGTTCTTTGATTGATTTAAGAGATATTACCCAAAATAGGACTAAAACAGTTTGAAAATTCCAAAATAGGACTTCCATGTTTTTATTCCCGAAATAGGACTAATTACTGTCATGTTTTGACAGTACCAGACTTTAAACATGACAGTATTTTCCAAATTTGGCAGTAATTTGTCTTATTTTGGGAATAAAAACATGACAGTCCTATTTTGTAATTTTCAAACTTTTTTAGTCCTATTTCGAGAACTTTCCCTTGATTTAATTCATAGTTGTTTATAAATATTTAGTTAAATTAACCATATTGTTTTCGTTGAAACCTTAGCAAACTGAGAAACCCGTTTTGATTCATTCACATAGTCACCAGAACCATTCAAAAAACTTGTAATTCTGCAAGTCAAAAATCGAACTCCAAAAATGTTTATTCATTTGCTACTTTTTTAGTTTCCAAAACATATACTTAAATTTAAATATAATTATTTTATTTTATATACATAGACGTATAAATATACATTTGTAGTGCTTAATTGACACCTATTTTAGATATTGAAACATAATTTTAACGCAAAACTAATTTTTAGACATATTGTTGCATATTCATGATAATATGGATTTTCTTTGTCAAGTAATTATGCATTTTAATATGTGTGTAAATATAAACAGTGTAATATGGAGAATCATTATTTACAATGAAATCGAAATGATACTCTTGATGGTTAATTTCTTTCCTACTAAAATGAATTGAATTTCAAGAGTTGGTTTTCATAATTTCGCCAGTAATTTAGATATGTTAGCGGGTTCATTGTTGCTAGCAAAATATGTGATAAAATACATACTTGATCAGAATTGTGCGTGATAAAATATATATCTGTTGAGCTATAATTTACTACAATTATGTGCGGTCCTGATTTTACTCGGAATGCAGGTTTACAGCTTATAATATACCAGAAATACTTTTATGAAACAAGAATAAGTTGGATAGCGTGTTTATAGTCCCTCCAATACCATCATATATTTTGTCCATTTAATTCACTTATTTGTTGACAAATGTTTTGCACACTTAAATTGTTTAGAACACTTTTTTTTCTAGAGAAGTTGCACTAAATTCAATGAAAATCAGTTCCTTTTATTGAAATTTTTTGCAACAAAAACAGGTTTCCATACATGACTCTTTTTTTGTGACCATGGGGTTATGTTTTATGCTCTAAACTTCTGAATAGTTTCTTTCTTTTCTTTTCCATTTGTCTTCCAAACATAAAGGTACAAGTAATTTTGAAAAGCTCGACTGGCTTTAATGGTGCTTCTTACTGATTAGGTGCAATCTTGGAATAGTGTGCTGTTTATTTTGCTGCTCTCAAATGGCGTCCTTGCAAGAAAGTCTGAATAGGTTTAACAAGCAGCAGGAAAAAAACCAATCAACCCTTACAAGTATTGCAGCAGCTGCAGCTAAAGCTGGGTCCTCAAAGTCAACCCCTCCCAAATCGGCTGCAACATCATCAACTGCAAATGCAAAGTCTCCTTCCACAGCAATCAAATTTTCCAATGACACTGAAAGGCTTCAAATTATAAACAGCATAAGGAAAGCTCCTGTTGGAGCTCAGATGAAACGTGTGATTGACTTGTTGCTTGATGTATGTGCCCTCTCTTTCTGATTATGTTTCAAGTCTCTTTGGTATTTTACTGTCTACACAACTCTGTTTTTTTTTCAATGACATCCAGTGCCTTCTTATGGCCCTCTGATCTTGGGTTTAAGTTGTTTGACATGCTTATCAAGAGTACATAGTTTTTGTGCAGAGGCTTTGCTTTTAAATCTTTTTAGCTCTCAAAGGAGTGTAAGAGAAGGGAAAAACTCAGGAAGGCAACAAAAGAGTTATCAATGGTTCCGCACAGCAGTGTTAATAATTTATTATTTTACAGAAATATGTGAAAATTATACCCCTTTTTTAAATTTGACTTTTGTTTTAATTAAAAATATGGTAATCTATCTATATATATATAATATGTAGTGAATTTTTATTTCAAAATGATGAATGTGAAGAAAAACTGAAACAATACAACCATGTATGTGAGGTGTGTTAATTTTAAAAAAATGAGGTGGGTTTATTAATATAAAAAATCATCTAAAGTTGAAAGAATGTAAATATTTAAAATTTGTATTCAAAAAGTTGTCCAGGCTTTAGCTCTTACAAAGATCTGCCTGTGAATGACTGTGTGTTCCTAAGTGCACTAAAGCATGACATCTTTAGCTTTTACGATATTTATTAGCTAATGGTAGAACCCATCATTTCACCAAGCCAAGTACTTTGACATTCTCATAATTTTCCATAAAAAATTTACTATGGTACTATGTACTACGTATATTGTTTGAGAGCTGATAAGTGGACCGTTATGCTCTTTGTGGGATCCCAGTGGATATAGTACTCATTTATGTGCTCTTCCCATCTATTAAAATATGTATATGCCTCCTCTTCTGGGAGAGATATTCTAATTTTGTTTCGTTTTAATGTCTACAGACTAGGAAAGCTTATACGATAGAGCAAATAAATAGAGAATGCCATGTTGATATGAATGCCAACAAGGCTGTGTTTGACAGTTTGAGAAACAACCCTAAAGTCCACTATGATGGCAAACAATTCTCTTATAAGGTAGTGATTCAACCTTTTCGGTTGCAAAGTTCATAAATCCCCCATGTTCATATTATTCCCTTCCTTAGAAGGTCGCCTTGCAGATTTTCCCACTGACAATTTTTTTATTCCAGTCCAAGCATGACGTGAAAAATAAAGATCAGTTAATTCGTTTGATACGGAAATTTGATGAGGGTATTGCTATCATTGATCTCAAGGATGCATACCCAACTGTGATGGAGGACCTGCAGGTATTCTCTGTAATAGTGTTGATGACGATGCATGTATTTAGGGAGTTTTTCTTTTTCTTAATTTAAAATGAAATGTCTGTATATATAGTGTATACTTTTGGGACTAAGGCTCGGATGATCATGTTATTGCCGTACAGTGTATACAAAAGAATGCATGGCATTTATTGGACATTGTTGCTTGTTTCTTCATCTTCTTCTACTACTACTACAACTATTATTATGATCATCATTGTCATCATCATTAATCTTATTATTATTGATTATTATTATTACATTATTATTATTATTCTTATTATTATTATTATTATTATTATGCATCTCTACCTAAAGAAATCAAAGAAGATTCTAGCTAGGCCATTCGAATCGTCGTAGTTAACAATCAGAAAAAGATTTTCAAATAGATAACTTATTTTTCTTTTTCTTTGTAGCAGTAGGCAGTAAGTATGCTGGAGTTTCATCCCCCTTGTGTGTTTGTCTCTGTGTAGTCTCTGAAGGCTGAAGGGCAGGTTTGGCTGCTGTCAAACTCTGACTCTCAGGAAGACATTGTACACCCTAATAAAGCGGATGTGCGTATTAAGGTAGACGATGATCTGAAACAGCTGTACAGAGGAATTGAATTGCCACGTGACATGCTTGACATAGAAAAAGAGCTGCAAAAGAACGGTATGAAACCTGCTACGAATACTGCCAAGAGGAGGGCTATGGCCCAAGTTCACGGCATTTCCTCCAAGCCCAAAACCAAGAAGAAGAAGCACGAGATTAGTAAGAGGACGAAGCTCACAAATGCCCACCTTCCCGAGCTCTTTGCAAACCTCAATGGCTCCGGTTCATGATGGGCTGGCAGGTTTAGTGGTCGGCCGTTCAGATTCGATCTCAACCCTTGAGTTCTTTTGTTAAGCATTTCCTTTTCTTGATGTGATTGTTAAACAACAATGCACGTGATTATCACCCAAATGTAATCTATATTAAACAATGCTTTCTCAAATCTGGACTATATGGTGCTTATCAGTAAATAGATTTCATGAGCACTTCATAGGTTGGAATTTCGGATCCCTTTGGTAGCTTAGTTTGACCCTGCTCATCACCAATATAATAAGTAAGCTTTTGACTTATTTGGTTGAAATGGATTTTACCATTTTTTCTACTTTTAAAAAAGTCTCAGTAGATTCAGCGATTTTATTGAATATTTGAAGTTAGATACAAGATCTAACCAGAGCTGTACATATTAAAGCAGATCAATCCAGAGACATCCAAATTTGGACGCTATTGGCTGATTCTGCTAAATTGCTGATTCTGCTAAATTGTGGAAAAAAATATTTAAAATATATTTTATTAATAAAATAAAAAAATATGAAGAAATAGCTTAAATGGTCTTGTACAATAATTTTAGCCAATACAACCAAAAAATAACTTCAATATTATTTTTTTTTATTATTACACAATTCATTCCGCGAAACCAAAAGTTACGGGTAGGCGTGGACCCGGTTCGGGCCGCCCGGCCCGGGACCGGCCCGGCCCGTCACTGTGCGGGCCCGGAACCGGCCCGGTTCTTGGGTCCGGGTCCGGTTCGGGCATAGACCCGGTCGGGTTAGCGGGATCGGGCTCGGGTCCTGGTTTTGGAGGCCCGGCCCGGCCGGGTCGGGCCCGGGCCCGGGCCTAACGGTCCAATATTTAAAAAAAAAATTTTTTTTTTTGGATTCTTTTGGCTCAACGGCCACCCCAAACGGCTATATAGCCGTTGGGTGGTACCAGGGGGGGTCAGGGGGGTTTGGGTGGGGGGTGGGGTGGGGGGTGGGGGTGGGGGGTGGGGGTGGGGGGTGGGGGTTAAAAAAAAACCTATAAATACTCCTAATTTTAAACATTTTTTCACACCTCTTCTCCAACTCTTCTAAATCCTACTCTCTACTCATCTCCATTCTCCAATTCTCCATATTCATCTTCTCTAATTCTCTTATTCTCCTTTATATTTTATTTTACTATTTAATACTTATACAATTATTATATCTACTTATATATTAATTATCTACTTATATATATTATTATCTACATATACTATATTGCTTATATTTCTTATCTACTTAATTTCTACTTATATCTCTTAATACATACATACATACTATATCTACTTATATACATACATACATAATAATATCTACTTCTCTACTTATATTTTATATATACTTATTTTCCAATCTCCAATTCTCCATTATACTCTAATATTTAATTCTTATACAATTATTATATCCACTTAATACATACATTCTACATCTACTTAATATATATTTTATATATTAAAGTATAAAATATAAGTGTATTACTCATCGTATAGTATAGTATACTTATATATTATATAATATAAACATTATATTATATATTACTTACTATAACTAGTATTATACTAGTTAATTAGTTAATTAGCATTCTTGTTACATTTTTCATTATACTAGTTAATTCGTTCATTATCATTATTGTAACATTTTTCATTATACTAGTTAATTACTTAATTAGCATTCTTGTTACATTTTTCATTATACTAGTTAATTAGTTCAATACCATTCTTGTTACATTTTTCATTATACTAGTTAATTAGTTCAATACTTCAATACCATTCTTGTTACATTTTTCATTATACTAATTAAAATACTTCACATTTTATTTAACTAGTTGTTAGTTTGTTACATTTGTCACTATACTAGTTAACTACTTAATTAGCATTGTTGTTACATTTTTACTTGTACTAGTTATTTACTTCAAAAGTTGCTATAATTTTAATTGTAGAGACACACATTAATTCTACTTTGCAAAAAATTAGTTTGAAGTATTAATTAAAATAGTTTTAATTAGTTGCATTAGTTTTGTATCCATTATTATATTTGTTGTGAATTAATATTTGTTACATTTTTTAGATGGAAGGTGGTAGATATTCGGTTGATTTGGGTAACCTCCAACGCAATCGAAGAAACGAGATTGGGAGGAAGAAATCCCGCAAAGGTAAAGAACTTGCCGGGTCTTCATCTCAAAGTCGAGATGATTTTGAAACGGGTTACCAAAGGCGAGATGGAGATGCGATGTCCGAAGAACAACTCCAACAAGAATTGGCCCGACATAATAACCGCTTTCTACAACAACAACAAATGCCGACGACCATTGACGAAGAGGAGCTTGAGGATGAAGATGCGGAGGAATTGGAACCGGAGACGGCCGAGGAGGAGGGTGCCGGCAGCCACGACGCCGACGCGCCTGCCTCATCCCAAACCGCCACCGGTAATAAAAAAAGTAAGTCTGAACTAATGAAAAATAATTTTGATAAATGGAAGGACCCACAAACCGGCTATTGGCATGCAACTTGCAAGTGGTGCAACAACAATTATAGTTTGGGAACCTCCGGCGGATACGGATCCGCCGCAAGGCATCTTAAGGCAAAGCACCCCGTGGAGTATGCAAAATTAGGCGGCGGAACGGGGAAGCAAACTCAAATATCGAGGTTTGCGAATTCTCAACCTTTTGGTAATTTCTCCTACAATGATGCACAAAATTTGACTGGTATGGCTAACTTAATTTGTGAAGAAAATTTGCCTTATTTGTTTTCTGAAAGTCTTGCTTTAAGAGATTATGCACAAGGTAGTTTAAATCCTCAATTTAGAAATTATAGTCGCAAAACTGTTAAGAAAGAAATAATAAGGCTTTATAATGCGGAAAAGGAAAGGTTACAAAATTTTTTTGCAAACTTTGATGGGCGTGTTACTATTTGTTCTGACATATGGGAGGATGATTTTCATCATTTATATTATTTGGGTCTGACTGCACATTATATTGATGAGGATTGGAATATGCATAAACGTGTTCTTGCTTTTCGTGAATTTAATGATCGTCACACCGCTGAACATATTTATATTTTGATTGAGCGTATTTTAATTGAGTATAATTTGATTGATAAGGTGTTTGCTATTGGTTTCGATAATGCTACTAATAATACTGCTGCTATACCTAGATTGCGTGAGTTGTGTGATGCCAATTCTTTGATGGGTAGATTTTTTCATCAACGGTGTGCATGTCATGTTATAAATTTATGTGTGCAAGACGGTTTAAAAGCGTTAGGAGATTCCATGGAGGTAATAAAAGGGGGGGGGGGGGGGGGTTAGACGTATTTGGGGTAATAGTCAACTTAGATTAAAATGGCAAAGTTATTTGACTGAAAGAGGTGTGAGATATGTTGCTTTTCCTAAAGATTTGAGTATTCGTTGGAATAGTACTTATAAATTACTTAAAGTTGTTCTTAGATATAAAGAACATTTTCCTGCTTTTTTAAAAGAACATGATAACTATATTATAAACGCGGCTGAGATCGACACTTGCGAAAAAATTTGTAATGTTTTGATATATTTTTTTAATGCTACTGAAACTTTTAGTCATGTTTATAAACCTACCGCAAACCAATTTATTCCACAAGCTGTTAATCTCGCCGATGCTTTTAAAGAATTTCAAAATGCCGTTTTCGTTCATTATTTTTGTGATCATATGAAGGAAAAGTTTTTAAAATATTATGCGCATATTCCCCATATTTATGGTATTGCATTTATTCTCGATCCTCGTTATAGACTTGCTAATTTGGAAGATTGTTTCAACTTCTATTATCTTGCGTTTTTCGGTGAATTTCCAATGTATGAGGATAACCCCATAGATCCGAAAACGGAATACAACGAGGTTAGTACTTTATTTTATGCCTTATTTAATGAGTTTCGTGCACAATATAGCAACGCTCCCCCTCCCCCGTCACGAACATCTTCATCTAAAGGAAAATCGATTTTTAAATCTGCATTTGGCAATCTTATGAAAAAAACTAAAACAACTCACGTCACTGAACAAAGCGCATTGAATGAGATTACTTTGTATTTAACATATGAAGTTGATTTTGAAGAAAATGATGACTTTGACGTTCTAGACTGGTGGAAGTCAAAAGAAAGAACGTTCCCGATTTTAGCACGGATGGCTAAGCAAGTACTATCAATGCCGGTTTCAACAGTTGCGGTGGAACAAGAATTTAGTTCGGCCGGCAACGTCCTAACGGCATCTAGATCGAGATTGAGCGCGGAGTCTCTTGAGACGCTTATATGCTACCACGATTGGTTGAAGGCCGCACGTAGAACTCAAGAATTGAGCATCACCCCCTCCCAAGATTTTATGGATGACTCAACAACCGATGGTGGCTCTATCTATGCCGGAGATTCCGATTGATTAGTATTTTAGAATTTAGTACAAAATGTATTTTATAGCACTTGTCAAATTTATTTATACTTGTACTTCATATTTCAAAATTGTAAACTTGTACTTCATATTTCAAAATTGTAAATTTGTAGTTGTAGTTCAAATTAATTTGTAAACTTGTACTTCATATTTCAAATAAATATGTGTTCACTTTTTCATATGTAGCACTTCTCAAATTAATTAATTGGTTACAATCTAACGACTTAAAATTATTTTTCTAAAATATAAAGCCGGTTTTTAAATTAAAAATACATTTAGAATATGTAATTTGTTTAAATACTTATACACCTATTTTGTAACATTTGTTTTAGTTTTACTTAATTCATTAAATTAATTAATTTATTTTACAATATATATGTGTATAACTTAAAAAAAAAAAAAATTCAAAGCTCCCAAACGGCTATATAGCCGTTGGGGCTATGGGTGGGGGGCAGGGGTGTCCCGGGGGTGGTGGTGTGGGGAGTGGGGTTCAAAAACACCTATAAATACATCTATTTTCTAACATTTTTCTACACCTTTTCTCCAATTCTTCTCAAACTCTTCTCCATCTTCATCTTCTCTTATTATCCTACATTCCTACTTAATTACTTATACTGTTATACATATACCATTTTAAATATGGAAAGTACATCTTCCCTTATGCAAAACAATTTTGACAAGTGGAAGGACCCGAAGACCGGACTGTGGTGGGCAACTTGCAGGTGGTGCAAGAAAGACTGTTGCTTGGGGCGTTCATACGGATACGGGATGCCAATAAAACATATGAAGTCCTGTGACAAAGGGAAAACAACAACCAACGGTGGCGGAAATCCCAATTGATATTCATTACAATTTACAAAATGTATTTCGTATTGTTATTTTTTTCTCAATTCTCAAATGTAGTTCTTATTTCAAATAAATGCACTTG